CCAGGAGCCCCTAGTAGCGTCCTTGCTCCTAGTAGCGATGCCAGGAGCCCCTAGTAGCTTCTTGCTCCTAATAAGCGTTATTCAAGCTTATTCAATATGGAAGGGCGCCGCTAATACATCGGGGCCATAACTTCAATCCTCCATCAGGATGCCTCCGTTGCTTCACAGTGGAGATGCATTTCATTGACTACTCGCACTTATGCAGCTGACTTTGTTCTCCTTCAATCAGCGCAGTTGACACTGGCGGAACTGTGGACCATCAGCTGAAGCCAATCAAGGTGAAGTCATGGCATCAAACTGTGGGCTTTGATGCTGGCGTCAACATGTCAGGTGTCAGATGGCCACAGGCATCTTCAATTTTGTCAACTGTCATGAACTTCGCGTGGAGCAAACCAAGGCTCGATCTTATCAACTTCTCTAACTTCAGTTATGGTGGTCCTCAGGGCAGCAACAGCATTGGTTCCGTGTCCGTGAGGAGATTGCGCTCAGACTGTCAGGATCATGCGCCGGGCCCACCCAGCAGCATTCTAATCACCTGAAAGGGTGATTCATCAGGGCCACAACATGTCTCCGAGCCACGCTCTCTCATGTTCCTCCGGCCTTCGTTTTTGAAGTTGGTCACTATGCGCTCAACTTTTAGCTGCGCTCTACCCACTTGTCCACGCAGGCAGGCAGGACCTCGGGGGATTTTTTTTGATCTTTGCGGGCGAGAACCTTTGGGCCAACAGCGGCCTCGTGATCGAATCTTTAGCATGGGGCCGTGGGGCCCCCCGGCCCAAAATCAGACCATTGTCGCCAGATCGCTCCCAGCACTTATCCTGGTCAGAATGTCGATCGCCTCTGCACTCTGTAGGGGGCCGGGTTCATGCCCAAACGCGGCCGCCAATGATCCACCAGAATCTACCAATGTCTGCAAGTTGATTTCTCCTTCCCTTCATGCGCTCTCAGCGTAGCTTTTTGAATGTCGATTCTTCAGCAACCCGACAAATGGCAGCCTGCGTTTGGTATTTCCGGCGGAAGTGCAATTTCAACCACGCACACCGGAAGGAATGAAAAGACTCACGCGCATCTTGTCCCCAAGTCTTCAAGACGGGCATCGCGCAGGGCTGGCTTCATGTCAACGACTAGTGTGAAGCACCGCCTCTTGGCAGTGAACCTTCGTGCCCCAGCCCCAGAGAATGATGGATCTTTACAAGGTGACCCTTCGCACCACCGGAGCTTTGGCAGCTTGGTCTTCAGCACTTTTACTGATGCCTATATCAATCTCCCCCTTTGCAACTTTATGTGTCTACCCTGATCTACCGAAATACAGTAGTTACATACCTATGGATGTAACGTGCCCACAGATATGTTTGTTTGCAGCAGAGAGAGAGAGAGAGAGAGATAGATTTCAAGGCAACTTCGCGTTATGATGACTCCGGATTGGACTTCGCCGCGGTAAACATTTTATTTTGTGCCACAAACACCCACAGCTTCGTTGACACTCATGAAATAACATGACGAGAGTAAAATTGTTCTCCTTTTTGGCCTACTGGCTTAAATTGTTCAAAGTTACGTTTCTGAAGTGAAGGTGCGGTTGGCGGACAGCCACCGAAGACTGGGAGACTCACCATGGTATGGGCCTCATTTTGTAAGCGAAACTTCCTTGCACGCGTTTGTTTTCCCGTCCACTTATTCATTTGCGTCAGCCTTTTGTTTTGCATCATGTTTGTAGAGATTGAGGTCGCTCTTTCAAGCAAGCTTTCCAGATCCCCATTCTACTGATGAACTTTGTGTGGTGGTAAACTCAAAGTTGGACCGTGCTCTGGCTGTGGGTTGGGTTCTGTACGTTGTTAGCGTTTCTTGTGCAACGAGGTGGCTGAAGACAAACCCCATAAACGCAAATGGAAGGCTTTGCAGCGAGATGCGGGAGGCTTCAAGCGAGGTTTAACACAGTTGGCAGTTTTTTGCAGGTTTTGACCAAAGAAAACGGCTTGGTTGTAACGGCAGAAGCAGACCCTAACTCCAAGGCTGGTGGATTCCTTGACGCTTTGCTTTTCTTTTCTAAACAGTTCACATTCTTCGGTGGTGAAGGTCAGTGAAGGTCAGTTGTTCTCAGAGTTGAATCCAGGAGTTGTGCCGCCTTCCGGCAAATGCTGTCGTTGTGGAGGCAAAACTTGGGTTGAAATTCAATGTTTTTGAAGTGCTTTCATGCATCTTCATTGCCTGCGAGAGGATGGCATTCCACCAAAGAGACTTCCCACCGGTGAGCGCCGACTCCGAATTCGGTACAAGGCACATGGCTGACATTGCTGCTGATGCAAACATGTAGGGCTCGAGGCTCTTTGTGTTTTCTCGAGGCTGATGCTGCCAAACAAGCAGAAGGTGATCTTATTGATGCCATGGAACCCGAAGAATATATTGTAGAGGTTGAAGCAGGACGCCAACATTGAAGCACAGTTCCTTGCACATTTTCCATTGCTTCCGCATATCCATTTTCTATCAAGCAGGATACTTTGGAAGTGATTTCGGGACAGCTGCTACGTCTGTCCGTGTCTGTTCCAAAGGGGTACGCTCAGTCGCAAAGGTTTCACCAAAACAGGCGAGAGAAGACCGCTCCGGAAGGTACTGAAGACCTTGAATTTCAGACCTGGTGTAGAGGGTGGAGCTGCTGGAATAGATTCTGAGCAAGGAGCCAGCATGGGCGCAGGACTTGGGACGTTTATGGCTAGTCGTGGCATTGAGTGTTTCCTTTTTGAATCATGCTTCAGGTTGGACCCCTCGGGATCGCACCATGCACACAGTTCGCATCACCATTCGCAAGACCGGTGCAAGACTTGATCAGTGAAGGGGAGAAATGCAAGATGCTGAATGAAGCTGGTTCTTTTAGTACCCTTGGCTGTCTTGGCATTCAAATGACCAGGCTGGCATACTTTTGAGATCATTGATGGCAGCGACTCTGAGAAGACTTGGTCCAAAGATTTCAAGGCGAGCTTCGGCGAGCTCCGGCAAAATTGTCTCAGCACAGGCTTTACAGGCGACATGGACGACTCTGACGGGCGATGCTGTGCACATGACAAGATCGCAGGTTCTCGCAGAGTGCTATACCCAGGACCACTGAAAGGACTCTCCTCAAATCAAGAAAGGTCGCAGAGCAACATCGTCAGCTTCACTCAATGTATATATCATCCATTCATGCTCACATCCTAATACAGGGAACACTTGGCCATATGTTGTGCAACTTCAACAATATGCAGCACCGGCCAGATGTGGACAGCTTCTGCTGCACTCTGCTGCTGTTCCAAACGCAATTTTGCAGATGAAAGATGGCCAGAAAACCAGTACCACCAGGGCTCAGCAGAAATGAAGCAAGACCCCAGCCACTTGGACCTCGAGCGCCTGCTCACCCTAACTGTTAGACTAGCTGTGGCACCATGTCACACTCTGGTGCATGCTGTTGACCGGCTAGGAGTAATGCTGTAATTCAAAGCATCCTTGAAATACTTATTATCGGCTTGTTGGAGAATCTTTGGTGCCCTAATCTTTCCATTCGTTGCCCACCAAGCCCTGTTTTTTGACGGATGCATCTCCAGGTTTTGGGATGGTTTGATGACTACAAAGGCCGTGCTTTTTGGTGCTGATCTGTAGTGTTCTGGTTGTTCCCAGAGCAGGAATTTCAGGGATCGCAATCACAGATCCTGACAACGAAGAGCTGGAACTTGGCAAGGCTATTCTTGTGCTTGATGCATTGGACATGATATGAACATAAAGCAAGCAACATTTGATCAAGATTGCCAAGTTGGCTTTTCAGGAGCGTGAATACCACAACAGTGGAACCCACAAGCTGCGATTGCGCAGAATGGGAGAGGCAATGTGCTGTCAGTGTTGAACACATCCCTGGAGGGCGTGTTTTCTTCGAGTGAGGCAACAGCTGATGTGGATGACAAGTTCGACCCTCGCGGTTGGGTGAGAGCCATAGTAGAGATGCCGAAGGTGAATGGGGTAGCAAACAACATCCCAGGTAACCATCCGCAAGACAGATATGGAATTGGTGGAGGACATTCGCTTTAGATGGAAGTCATGTTTTTCTGTGTCTTCCAGCCTTGGGAGTGCTGCACTGATGTTGTAGCAAGATCTACTCACAGCGGATGTGTGTACTGTTTTGTACTCTACTAGCTTTGCAGCAATATTCACAGCGCTTCGAGCTCGAAGCCGCCCGCGCGGAGTGTGTGCGTCTGTTTGTCTCGGTCTGTCAGTCTGTCTGTCTCGGTCGGACACACGGACGAACACACTCACCATGTCAACAATGCAGTGTCACCCGGGCGGTAAAGCCGGCATCGCAAACATTTACCTCCAAAGCCATATCAGTTTTGATCAATCTTCAAAAGCATACCAACAAACCCACCTATCCATAAGTGAGCCCCCCCCAAGCTAAAGCTCATTAAGCGGATTAATCCAGCAGCTATCTTGCGGCTTGTGCGAGCCTCCACAACGCCTCAGCACCTTCGGTGCGGGCGGATGGATACAATATATCTATTCAGCGAACTGCGTGTGGAACTATGTCGGTAGCATGGCGTAGCATGGCATTGCTTGGCTTGCTGAAAGGTTGTTGATTGAAGCATGTATAGTGTAGAGTGTTTCATGAGAGACCACGGAAATTCTGCATGTAAAGATTTGCGCCCACAGGAATAGGATGGAAAGAAGTCAATTCCTAACTTGACTTTGGCTCAAGAAGTGAGAAAGGGAGCACACAAGCGCTCGCATGAGTTCGGAACCGATCTCAAGTACACGATCGACCACTTCGTGGTTCACAGTCTTGAAAGAAAAGGTCATTTAACTGGTTATCGGCCGCGTCTACACTGAGCGGAGAGAGACATCACCAGTGACTCACAACAGAGTATATCGGCAAGATCATGCTCCCCAAAAATCGTTTGACTCGAAGAACATCGATTCACGTCGCGATCGTCGGAGAACTTCGGAGTACATTGTTAAAAGAAAAGCTGGATTGATCCGGAACTTCTCCTGACCCACCGGCTGCAGCGCCTCCGGTGCCTAGCGGGCAGAGAAGCTCATGGCAGCGGCTGAGTCAGCCAGGGCCCAAAGAAAATGGCTCTGTTGAACATTGTACCATACGAAGCTGGATTGGCGCAGTCAGTGGCGCTTGATCAGATGCACTTGTTGTCGTTGACGCTTGCAGGAAGGAGCGCGAAGGATCTCACAGAGTTTGTCAGGAAAGCGAACAGTTCCTACGTCCTCCATGGTCTCAAACAAACAGATCTCCCCGCTCCTGCAATGCTGTTCCAAAGTTTATTTGGCTCTGGCAACAGGTCAAGAGGGTGCCCAGGTTTGCAAGTATGACTTGGGGCTTAAATTGCAGAGGGGTTGAGAGGCGTGCCGTGGACTATGACAACATCAGCAAGGGCTTGAATGACATGCTCAATGGCCACGAAGAACCCATTTTTGTGAACACTGTGTTCGTGGACGCCTGGTCAAGAGGCTGATGCAATGAAGCTGAGAAGGCCTATGAGCGGAGAAGCCTTCGGAAGAGGGGCTGGCTACAACGTCATGCAGCAGGACCCCGGACTCAAGCGATCTGTCATAGATCTGGGGTCCGACATGTCCTTGCGTTTGGCAAGCGTATGTTTAATTGGAGAAAAGTACACTTCTTTCTCGTGAAGGTCCTTTGCCCCCCCCGCTCGCTCTCGGGCCGCTTCATAGTCAATGACCTGGACAACATTGCGGTGCCTCAAGACGGAGTCAAGCCGCCAACCTGCAAACAACCTGAACAAGTTGTGGGAGTTTCGCAGCCGCCGTGCCGTCGTTCTTCGCATTGTAAAAGATGAGCGCCTTAACGGGGTATTTGACGCCCTGAAGCGGTTCACCTGTTGTGACCTCAACCTCAGATCGAATCTGAAAATCAACATGCGAAGCACGATGCCGATCACGCGGAACGCTTGGTGAGGTAGTCCAGCGCAGCAGCCTTTGTCAACTCTGTGGCAGCCTCTAACTTGCGTGGTCTAGGCCAGATGCGTTGGAAGCCATCAAGAAGGAGTTCAAGTGTTGGTGACAGGGCACTTGGGATCTTGACAGTGTCGCCGAGGAGATGCTTGCGAAGAATGAAACCATTCAGAACAACGAGACCATTTGTTCGGAGAAGCGCATGGAGTTTGACCCTCAGTAACGGTCCTTCAAGGCCGTGTCTGCTACCAGGCGACGCCAAACCGCAGATGGAAATCTTACATAGTACCAAACAGATTTTGGCCGCGTCTCCAGCTTCAATAGTTGCAGTAAACGCGATTATCTCCTATATATGGTGTGTCACGCCCTGATAAGCGCGGATGCTGTGAAGGCACACCTCCAATCTTAGTTGCGCAGTTGGCGACAACTTGGATTCGCTTGCCAAAGGAACTTTGGCCATCTGAGTGGTTCAAGAATGATGGCGCGCCACGTTTCAGGCGTCCGGTCATCAGGCTCAAGAAGGCGCAGTAGTACCAGAGTGGCAGGAGCACCTGGAGTGGCAGCGGTCAGGATGGGTTCCATGATGTCGAGAAAGCACTGATTTCCGATATGTAGTGGATGAGGTGCTACACTCAGACGAGATGACGGTGAAGTTGCAATTGGCGCGCAGGAGTCAAGGTGAGAGGATTGGTGTGTGTGTGTCACCCTTGGAGTCATAGGGATGCTTTTGCATTTGTTTTACTGCAGGGGGGTAGTGCACGACTGACAGACACTACCCAACGAAGACACTGTCAGTTCGTGGTGAAGCAATGCGGGACGCCGCATTGTGTACCTGCTGGAATTTTAACTTTTCCTGAGTTGAGTTTGACCTTCTGCAGACTTGCGCGACACGTCGTCATCTTGTCGGTTCGTCGTTCGGCTCCTTCCTCTTTGGGCCACCTCTCCGTTTGAAGACCCCCAGGTTTCGCTGGTTCCCTACTGATACTCTTAGGATCTGGAACCCTAGGCCGGCGTGTGGCACCGCATTCAGTTCAGTACACAATATCCTAAGTGTGTTTGGCCTTGTGCCAACCCGGGATGAGCCCGCAGAGTGCCTCCCGTGGACCCTTCGAACGGGTGTACGTCGTTATCTCCCCTGCCCGGAGATGTAGATGCCCAGAGCGGGCGAAGGTGGCCTAGGCCGTACGAACGATGATCTTTGTTTCATCTTTGGAATTCCAAGTTGGCTCATGCCTTTACGTGACCGCAGCGGTCAAAGCAGCCAGCCATTTCGGCAAGGCACAAGGTGACCACAGCGGTCAAAGCAAGTTTAAGGTCCATTGGGACCTGTTGGAGCCTTAGTATCTCAGTTGATTCCTCCTTCTCCGCTCCCCGCTCCTCTTTGGTCCCTGGACGCTTGATTCGTAGCTGGGAACACCTCTCTCTCTCTCTCGCTCTCTCTCCTTTTCTTGACGGGTGTGTCCTTGGACGCTTGAGCGGTAGCTGGGAACACCATCGTCTCATTCCTTTTCTCGTTTGGTGTGTCCTTGGACGCTGGGCTCGTAGCTGGGAGCACCTCTCTCACTCTCTCTCTCTCTCTCTCACTCTCACTCTCCCTCTCCCTCTCCCTCTCCCTCTCGCTCTCGCTCTCGCTCTCGCTCTCTCTCTCTCTCTCTCTCTCTCTCTCTCTCCCTCTCCCTGCTCCCTGCGCCTCCCGCCGCTATGCAGCTCTCTCCTACCGGCCTCGCCGCCTTCACCTTGCCACACACAGGCCTTCAACCTTTCCTTTCCCTTCCTTACGCCGGGGTCTACACCCTACCGGATAACAGCGTGCAGGGGTGCCTGGGCCTTTCAGTGTGCAGCTGGCAACCGCACCAACCATCCTTCCTCCAGTTTACAAGAAACGGTCACTTCTTTTCCGTTTCTTGCTCTTCCTCTTCCTGCGCCTCCACACACCTTTCCTGTCCCTTCCCTACGCCGGGGTTTACACCCTACTGGATAACCGCGTGCAGGGGTGCCTGGGCCTTTTACTGTGCAGCTGGCAACCGCACCAACCATCCTCACTGAAATCTCACCCCACCTTTGGCGCGGAGCTTAAAATCTTGCCTCCCTCCGGGGAGGCGTGTGTGTGTCACCCTTGGAGTCATAGGGCCATAGGGATGCTTTTGCATTTGTTTTACTGCAGGGGGGTAGTGCACGACTGACAGACACTACCCAACGAAGACACTGTCAGTTCGTGGTGAAGCAATGCGGGACGCCGCATTGTGTACCTGCTGGAATTTTAACTTTTCCTGAGTTGAGTTTGACCTTCTGCAGACTTGCGCGACACGTCGTCATCTTGTCGGTTCGTCGTTCGGCTCCTTCCTCTTTGGGCCACCTCTCCGTTTGAAGACCCCTAGGTTTTGCTGGTTCCCTACTGATACTCTTAGGATCTGGAACCCTAGGCCGGCGTGTGGCACCGCATTCAGTTCAGTACACAATATCCTAAGTGTGTGCCCCTTGTAGTCACAGGGGTTCTTTTGAATTGTGAACAGAATTGCCTTGTTTAGAGCAGGGGGCATGCGGCCATCACGCAAACGCATGCCAACAAAGCTATGCGTGATGGTGGAAGCCAGGTCTGATCAACCTGGTGTACCTGCTTTTGAAAACCTAAGTATGGCAAAAGCTGTCCAATACGTTGTTTCTGCATTTTGTCATGCTGCAGTAAAGGGCTAGTGCATCGGCAACTCACCTTGCAGGCTTTGGAGGTTTCTCGCACTCACCTGTTTTCAGTTACCTGGAACCTTAGGCGGCTTACTTAGGCTGGCGTGTGGCACCGCATTCACATCCGTACGCATTTCCATAAGTGTGTGTGTGTGTGCGTATATGTGTGCGCCACCTCCCGTCTCTAGAGGTTCTACCTTCCACTCTTTCCCTTTACTCGACCCACTGTACGGTACACCGCAGGGGGCACCTGAAGCAGAGATTGAAAACGAAGACGCTCCGGGACGCTGGAGTTACGTACCTGCAATTTTAATTTCGCATCATTTTCTCGGTCTCACCCTTGTCACAAGCAATTCTGTTATGCGGACTTATCGCCTTTCCGTTCATTCAGTCAAGCAGTAAAGTGCTAATGCTCCC